CCCAGGAATAAAAATGATTATTGGCTCAAAGATTGAAAAAATCAATGGAATGTGTTTTTGAAATATGATCATGAGTTTGAATTCAAAATTGTCTGAACAATTGTTATTTTGGATATTAACAAATAATCATAACATTCTACCTTTGTTCACCTTTGAGTTATTTTTAGCCATACTTTTTATTCTTTCAATAATAAAAATCTATTTTTCTTATTTTTCACCAAAATAGCATCCTCTAAATGAACCAAGGAAATGCATTATATTTGTCACTAATTTGAATTATGGTAAATAAATGAATGATATTTTTCATAAAGAATTTTTTATTTTTTCGAAAGAAATTCAAGATGAGATAAATGAAAGAAACATGAGAAAATGATTTATAAGGGGGGAAATAGGCTGACCTAATGATGAATCCAGTGATAGATTGGTTGACACGACCTGTGAGTATGACCAGATGAGAAAATGAACATTGATCAGTTGAAAAAATTTGTCTTGAAAAGCTAAGAAAGATTGGTGGAGTCTTGAGAACTTTGTCACCACAATTGAAATTTCATGACATTAGCATTACATAAATTGTGTTTACATTTGCATCCTGGTTAGGACATGTATTTGCATTGTTGCAATATCACTTATCTCTCAATTGATCTTGGCTCAGTCTAAATTATTTTTTTTGACTCACGATTTTATCCCAGTCATTCATGTTTGATCTTGACTCCATCCTAATTGCTTTATCTTCAGACTCACGGTATCATCTCGATCATTTATCTTTGACTTCGACTTGATCTTGGTTGCTTTCAAACTCACATATCATCTCAATCATCTGATCTCGACTTTATCTAGATCATTCTTTTAACTTGTGACATCATTTTGATCATTCATCTTTGACCTTGACTTGATCTATGTCATTTTCAAACTCGTGGCATCATCCTGGTCATTCATCTTTGATCTTGACTCGATCTTGATCGCTTTCAGACTCGTGGCATCATCACAATCATTCATTTCGATCTCAACTTGGTCTTGATCACTTTCAGACTCGAGGCATCGTTCCAATCATCCGATCTCAGCTTAATCCAAATTATTTTTCTAACTTGCAGCATAATTTCGGTAATTCATCTATGACCTCAACTCAATTTTGGTTGCATTCAGGCTTGCGACATCATCACGATCATTTTTTTTCAACCTCAACTCGGTCTTAGTCACTTACAGACTTATGGCTCAGTCTTGGTTACTCATTTCGATCTTGGCTTGATCTAAATCATTTTCCTAACATTTGTAAAACTTGAAATTTTGTAAATCTTTCGTTCTTGCAAACCTAAAAATCCTTGCGAACCTAAAATCTTTACGAGTCTAGAACCTTTGTGAAACTTGAAATCTTGCAAATATTTCTTTCTTACAAATCTAAAAGTCCTTAACCTTTACGAACCTAAAACCTTTGCGAAATTTAAAATCTTACGAATATTTTTTTTCTGCGAATCTGAAAGTCCTTACGAACTTGAGATCTTTGTAAATCTAGAACCTCTACAAAACTTGAAATCTTACGAATCTTCCATTCTTGCGAATTTGGAAATCTTTACAAATTTTGAATCTTTGCAATTTTGTTAAACTTGGAATATTGGGATCTTTCAACTTTTGTTATGGAACCTTACAAAATTTTAAATGTTCAAACTATGAATCTTTGGATTTAAAGCGAAATTTTAAACTTTATTTTTTTGACTTGCAATTCAATTTTGGTCACTCATTTCGATCTCAGTACAATCCATATTATTTTTTTTTTACTCGCGATTTTGTCTTGGTCATTCGATATTGGCTCAATTCAGATCATTTTTCTGACTCACGATTTGGTCTCAATCATTTATTTTTTACCTCGACTCGATCCTAATCACTTTAGCTTTAAACTCACGATTTTGACCCGATCATTCGATCTCGGCTTAGTTTAGATCATCTTCTTTACTTTTTGATCTTGTCTTAGTCCAGATCATCTTTTCAACTTTTTGATTTCGATCATTTTTCTGACTTGTAGCTCAATCCTTGTCATTTCAATTTGTTACTTTGACTCTTGAAATAGAGTGGGTTTCTAGGTCTTTACATCATCCCTGTCTAACAAAAATATACAAAGAGATGCAGCTATAAGCACCCATCTATGTTTAGGGTCAATTAGATCGTGTTTTATTATTTTTTTATATTATACTATTATTATCATATTATTATTATTATTATTAATTATTGTATAGTATTATATCATATTATCATATTATTATTATTATTATTATTTCTTTCTTTCCTTTCTTCCAATTGAAAATCATAGATTTAGGAAACTGATAATCAGATTTCAATTAATTCGATCAAAAAGTTGTAATTCAGTATCCAAATCAAAGGCTTTTAGTTTCACCAAAAATGTTGTTAGGAATCTTGCTCAAACAGAATCAATCTAGGCTTGAATCTTGAGATTGGATTCTGTCGATCCCTAAATTGGCATGGACACTGTCTATAAATGGAACCAACATCACAAAGAATAGGGGAAAGATTGGAGGGGTTACATAGTGGATTTTGATTACACAGTGAAAGTTGGGAAAATTTTAGTTGTAACTTTGAAAATAGTCATATGGGCAGTGGGGTTCTGGATTTTGGTTTGGAAAATTTTTAGGAATACTGGAGATTCTAGATTTAGATTTAGGTTTCTAGGGTTTAGTTTTAGGTTTCTAGGGTTTAGTTTTAGGTTTCTAGAAAGATTTGGAAGAAATATGGAAAATTTGGAAGTTTATGGGATTTTCTTGAAAAAACTAGATTTTAAGGAAGAACATTTGAATTTATTGATGAATTTTTTTGTGGAAGTTTGAATTTTTCGATCAGATTCCGGCCAATTTTCCAAAAACTAACAACACACTTAGTTTTTGGTTGAATTTTTAAGGAAATTCTAAAGAGAAGAGAGAGAGTTTTTGGTCTAGAGAGAGAAGAAGTAGGGAAATTTTAAAGCCAAAAAGCAAAAGGTAGTAGTTATATGATGTCAAAATGACACTGTTTTGGAGAACCCAATTACACGAGTGACCCGACAAGGATCCTCGCGTTGACCCTGGTGTCGACCCTACCCGATTGTAGGTTTTTTCTTTTCCATTTTAATTTTATATTTTGATTTTATTTTCTTTTATTTTTATTTTCTTAAGTTTTCATTTTCAATTTTTTTATTTATTTAATTTTACTGGTTCTAAAAAAAAAAAAATCTTTTCTGAATAAAAAAGAAGAAAGAATTAAAAAAATCTTTTCAAATAAGTTTGAAAAACAAAAAAAAAAAAAGAAAAAAAAATCTTTTCAAATAGGTTTATGGAATCCACCAAACTATTAGGAAATTTCATATATTAATTTTCGAAAGAAAGAAAAAATATCAATAATAAAAAATATTTTTATCCTCTAAACTATTAGAAGATTGCTTCAAACTAAGTCCTACCAAATTATTAGAAGACTTGATGAAATTCTCAATTTTTTTTTACCAAACTTTTTTATAATAAATCTTACCAAATTATTGAGAGATCCACTTCAAAGTAAGTCATACCAAACTATTGGGAAACTTTACTAATGTTTTAGAATAAAATGCTTTAATGAATGCAATGACAAAGCCTTTTCAAAGTGAAACACTAGTCCCCATGAATACCCTTAGATGAGAAAATTATCTTAAATTACTACCAAACTATTGAGATAATTTTAAGACTAATTTTCAACATTTAATATTTTGGCAAAAGCATAAATGTTTTAAAGGCTTGGATAATTTGGAATCAAACTGGTATCATTCTTAGGATAAGCGTTGTAAGGGTGCTATAACTTTTCTTACGCGTAACCACACTCCCGAATTTAAAATCTAGTTTTGCAAATTAGATTCAATCAGGTGGGCAATCATACCTAAATAAAAAAGATTTGTGACGACTCTTCCAATCCATGTCTAGTGGTAGGTCCACGAATCTATACATTATGACAATAATGCTTGAAAAAATTCTAGAAATTTAGCAACTCAAAATTAACTTTCAATTGTTATTACCTTTCAAGCATGTATAAAAAAACTAAAAAGGTATCAATGCATAATTAAGCTAAGGAAAACAATTTCAAAAGAAAATTATGAGAAGTAAGATTTAAAATAAGATTTCATGAAATTCATTTGAGCATAAAAAATCATAAAAGAAAGGGTTAAAAAGAATTTCACTAAATGGCAAGATACAACAATTACAATTACACTAGTTATGGCATTTTCCAACTTTTAACACCATAAATCCTTCAAAATAAGTCCAAATACTCTAAAATTTCTCATTTTTCATATTTTCATCCATATATGAAACAATTATGAATTTAGGATTATTTTTACAAAAATTCTCAAAATCAAGCTAAAAATCAAGTGAAATTACATTAAAATGAATAAAAAAAAACTAAAATTTTAATGCAATCAATTCCCAACTAAATAGAAATCTCATTTGGCACACCAATCCAATGTCATGAGATACTTTTCAAATGCATTGGAGTCCCAGTTTCCCACTAATTACCCCCCACCCCCCCAATTCTAGTGGTATCTAAGTAGCCAACGTATAACAAACAAAAGGATTTTTTTTTTTTTTTCAGTTTGGGTACACGTTCATGCGGTGCTGATTAGCATGTATTTTCTAAAATGATAACAATTTAGGTCGAATTTAATTTAATTTAATTTTTTATAATATTATATAATATTATTAAATTTTTAAATTTTGATTAATTTCTTATACAATTTGATTTGAATTAAATTTTATCAATTTTTTAAATTTAATTTTTTATTTTTATATATTATTTTAGTATAAAATTTTAATATATTTAAATAGATTTTGATATAAAATTATTATTTTTACTTTATAAATTTTAAAATATATATAAAAACTAATAAAAATATAAAATTTTTATTTTTATTTTACGTATTCATCGGCAGACCTGTAATCTATTCTATATTGGCATTTTAAAGGGGACTCTGGATCTTGACTTTTGTAAGATACCGAATGCAATTTTCTTATCTGAGCTTTGGCCAATAGAGTATCAATGCATGTGAAACACAGAGAGAGGTGAAACTGCTATTGCGATTAAGGCTCTTTGAAAGATTTTTGGAAGAAATTTGAAGAGGAAGTGAAAAAGATAGAGATGGAGATCTCGGTTTTAGAAAGCATTTATCTGATGTGATGAGAGAGATGACTTCCTTAACCATGAGTTTGAGTTTCTTAGTAATCAGGATAAGGTTCAAGTGAAAAGGTTAAAAGCTAAGGGTTCACTAAAAGCCAAAGGGAGATGTTTATCGGAAGGTGAAAGCTTGGGCAATTATAGCAATTTCTCCTTTAACTCTTTTCAAATGTTTGGTGGATTTTACGTAAGTCTATTGTTTCCCTTCATTTTAGAAAAAGATTTGCAATTGAGATTGATTTTGCCCTGTTAAGAAATCAAAATATTGTTATGTTTTCTTTGATTCTTTTAATTTTGCTATATTTTTAAAATTTTTTGTTAAAGTAACATTCTAGGAGATCTCGATGATTATAAATGAGATGAAACTACTTTTTATCTTAATTTGCGTGTTGTTTGCTTTCGTTTTTAATTAGAACTGCATTGCGTACTAATATTCAGTTACTCATGTGATTGGCAACAAAAGAAAAAAGAATTAGAATGAGACTACATTTTATGTTGAAGTATGATCTTCTCTATATTAATAGAATTATTTTTGCCTGTTTATAATTTCCTATACAAGCACTTATATTTCTTAAAAGTATGGTTGAGGATGACTTTTCACTTCAAACGGTTGGTATCGAATTCTTATGGTTTGTAAATATAGGTACATTTTATGCAACACAAATAGTTACTTAGAACAATTGTTAAATAACTCAAAGTTAGTTAAGGTGAAAGGTAATTGAGTATGGCTTCATGTTTTAAGGTTTTAATATAGTTATTTGACTGTAAATGAATCATTGAGTAGCTAAAATCTATTTTTTTGCCATGTAAGTGAAAAGAAAGTTTTTTTTTTTCCAATTGTTAAACTATTTGTATAGTCTATTATGGCAATTTATTTAATTATGTGTGGATTACTAAATAATGTTTTTGCTTCTATTAAATGAAAGAGTTTCTTTCCCACCCATATAATAACCCAGTTCTAATTAGGATTACCTTTAATTTCTCTATGTAATTGAAATGATTTCATCAGTTTATATGTTCTAGATTGCATAGATTGTTGACTGCATACATAATCATATAATAAATTTTATTTTTTAAATTGTATTGAAGCCAATCTATTTTAGTTGATTTTTTTTTTTAATAAGATTCCTTCCAAATTATGTAGCATTGCAATATCTCATACATTTCTTTTATCAAATGATCACACATGTTGTAATTTGTTTCCAAAGATCAAGTTGTTGTATGCAAAATTAAGGTACATTCCTTTATAACTTTAATTGATTGATTAATGAAGTATTATCGATTGTTTGAAAAGATAAACAATTTTATTTTTTATTGTTTAAGTTATATGGATATGAGAAGTATCATTGTTATGATATTTCTTTATGCCTTGTTTTTTTTGGTTTTAAAGGATACTGTAGTATATCATTCATTTGAAGAAAATCCTCAAAACCTTTATTATGTTGCATTTGTAAATAGCACTAATTCAATATACAAGTTATGTGGTGCAATCCCTCAACTTTTGATATCATTAAAGTTTGTCAGACCAATCGTTTTAATTATCAAATTTGATACTATAATGTAATATTTTTCTGAGCCTATGAATTAATGTGTTGTTTTTTAAAGAAAAATATACATCATATGCTAATCTGTTGTTTAGCTGGTACTCAATTAATTGAAATTGCTGTTTTTGCTTCTCAATGTTAATGGACATTAAATCCACATGCAGTATTGGCCCCAGAATTCGTATTCGCTAACGCTTTAGATTTCCCTAGATCTGTATATGTTTGGGAATTCTCATCTTTCTATGACCGCAACTCACTATTCTATTATGAACAGGAAAAATAAGGATGGTAAAATTGTGATGTCTTCAACAGACTAGGACACAGAAGTTTGTTTCTCTCTCTCTCTCTCTCTCTCTATATATATATATATATATATATATATTTGTTTCATTTTCATTTTATTTGTCAACTAAGTAATTCATTTGAGTTATATTTTATCAATTTTTTCGAGGGAAATATTAATGATGCTTTGGCAAAATTACAGGTGCTGCAATAGTCTCTCTCTGGCAATCATGAGCAAAACAGGCATTCCTAGCATTTGGTTAGTATATTACCCATCAAAGATGCAATTGACATATCTGGTTTGCTATGGCACGGTATGTGTATTGTTGATCTTTTGATTTATGATATGATGATGACATAATCATCTTTTTGATGTTGCCGCTTAATGTGCCACGTCCCCATCAGAAGAGGAAAAGAAAAACACTCACAACTACATTAACTTTTACCTTTTATTCTTACTTATCTGAACATAATTATTTGTTATAATTTATAAATGACAATTTCATGTTATATTCCAATCTGTTTTTCTATATTTTAACTTGTTTTAATTTGTTTACTGAACATTTATTATGAGTCGGTTTTTGGTTGGTTTTAATATATGATTTATATATGAGCATTAATGGCAGTTCGTTGGGGGAAAGAATAAAACAAAGAACTGGATTGCTAAAATAACTACTAGGGGAAGGATGTCCATCCCTCTGAAAATGTTTTGAGCCGTTGGTTTTCTTATTTCTACTTTTTAAAGACTTCCTTATGTTCTTTTCTTTTTTTGGTAGAGAAAGTATGATCCAACTTTCTGCTTCCTTATTGGCTATACAAATTATGCAGGGTTATCCTTGCCCTTTTAAAAATAAATCAAAAGTAGCTATTTTGATTAGAGATAGAGTTCAATCCTTTGCCTACTTTTATATTCCCTTTTGTATAAGTTTTAATTAAAAAATTAATATACATATATATATATATATTTTACAATTTGAGTTTTCCCCATTGTACTCTGACTAAACTTTTCTTTTGGTACAATAAACAGCTTTCTATTGTTTTTTTGTTTAATTAATCGCCTCCATTGATATTTGATTTTGCATGTTTTTTAGTTGAATTTTATTTTTAAATTTTGACAAATTTTAGAGATTTGGTTTTTTGTTTCTGTCTTAGAAAGTCAAGAGAATAATTAGAAAGGAACGGCATTGACAAACCTTCCCTTGTCGGCAGATTGGCTGCTTACCGGCCACTTGCTTCATTGAGTGAGTTGGTTTTCGCGTTGTATCCATGATAATGATAGCCTTTTTTCTGGACCATTGATAACAAATTTACGACGATCTATGAAGGAATAGGACGACTGAATATGCTTATAGTCAAGATTGTTTTTGCCGAAAGATTATCCAATTGGGCAACAAGCTTTATTTATTCTTTATTTGATTAATATATGATTAATGGATTAGTTAATGTTATTGCAAGAGAATTTTGTTAAACAGTTCCAAGAAATTAATTAATTTAAAGGCCAAACAGAGCCCATTATAATGATTAGTTTTCTTCTTCTAAGAAGAAAACTTCACGCTGACAATATGATTGATGGATTAGTTAATGTTATGGAAAGGGAGTTCTGTTAAATAGTTCTATGAAATTAATTGGAAATTTGAACTAGCATTACTTTTAACTCAAAATAAAATGTTTCCATAACACAGAGAAATATACAACTTCATACCTTAACACATATCATGCACAACCAATTCATATTACATTTCATTCCAAATGTAATTTCAACTTACAATTACTATTTTTTTCCCTTATGTTGCATTGACATAAAGCAAGATTGAAGTGGTTAAACCATTATTTCCTTACAATAGAAGCTCTGGAAAAACTATTGCTTTATTTGTGAACGTGATATTGACAGATACTTTTAGGAAAAAATTTGAACACAAACTCAGTTCTATGCTAAAGTAGACAATTATATGAACTTTTTCTTATTATGAGCACTAATTTGAATATAATTTCTTATGGTATCAACATAGAAATTGCAACTTATTTTTATATTTGTATTCCTTCTATTGCAGTGATATTAACAAAGTTTTAAATCAAGAAGCCATAACTTTTATATCATCCAAGTTGTGAAAATAAATTTATTATTTGCATACAATTATCATCTATAGTTATTTCAAATGTATAATTTTTATCCTCTCTTTAGCTATAAAACTTAATGAATTCCCTCCTACCATATAACTAATATTATAAAAAAAAAATGCATCTCTAATTTATAAAACACAATAAGAAATATAACACCCGCATCAACGCGTGGAAAGTGACTTTGTTATTACTATTATTAAACAATTATAGATGTAATCGTGACTGATCACTGTTCTTGCATCCACCTAGAAAAGGAAACTAATGGATCTTTCTAAAAGATAAATGATCAATGCACACCTTGATTTTTGAAATGGGAATTCTCATAAAGCCCGTGTCCATAATTGTCACAGCAAAAGCAAGAACTGCAAAAGAGTGCATTTCAACCCAAAGTTGAGAGGAACAGGGAGTTAGTAAATAGGATTCTGCCTTATTTTCCAATCGCCAGGAAACTCCCAAATTTGTAAAATTTGTATTAGATTCGATACCACCATATCAAAACAACAACAATGTTTTGAGAAAAACTAGTATGCAATGTTTTATCAATGACACGTACAATACGTTGCACATTGCATTTGACTAGAAAAATCAATAGACATTATCTGCATCGGTTCTTTCACAAGCGAGCATAAATTGAATTAAAACTTTTACATTATTCATTGACACCAGCATGCTAAGTAGTGGAATTTATTTTTCAAAACAATATAAAACAGAAGAAAAAGTAGAGCTAAATCCTACCTCAGTTTTTGTGCTGCATTCTCCCACTTTCTGCACCAGCAAATGGATCAATGATCACATTTATGACAGCCGGCTTCCTTGCAGAAAAAGATTCAGAAAGGGCAGACTTCAATTCATCAGGTGTCCCAACAAGGTAACCCCTTCCCCCAAAAGCCTCCATTAAAGTGTGATAAGCAGCACCAGAAACAAAGGAAGTGGGGGCAGGTTCATCTTTGAACGGGCCAGTAACTTCTTCAGAGCTCCTCCGGTCACCACCATATACACCACCATTGTTAAAGACTATCACAACCACAGGCAACTTGTATCGAACCAATGTCTGCAGAATAAAAAAGACAAATACCAGATTTAAAAAATAAACAAATAAATAAAACACTCTCCGTAAGCAGCGGGGGTATTTGTAAGTCCAACAACCAGAAAGAGCATTTATAATTTTGAGATTTATTTTAGCACCTCCCAAATATAAAAGAAGAAGCCTTGAGGGATAAAAAATGAAAACACAAAAACAAACTAGAAGTGCCCTTCATCATCATCATTAAACACCCAATTTTCTGCAATTAACTTTGCTATAAATCCATCATGATATTTAGCATACATGCATACATACCTATAAAGATGCATGTACATGTGTGTGTGTGTGAGAGAGAGAGAGTAAGAGAGAGAGAGAGAGAGAGAGAGAGAGAGAGAGAGAGAGATAAGCAGAAAATTATGCAACTTTTAATCAAGAAACTGTGACACAATTATCTTATGGCAAAGAAATCCATAATTCAAAGACCAGATTCAGTTCAACATTGTAAACTATTGTTAAACATGTTTTTGCTTTTTTCTTTCTACTGGTAAGTACTAGCCTATTTGAAAATGTCAATGCCCAAAAAGAGCAAAACAATTACTGTTATCTGACTGATTATGAAGTTATAATATTAATTGCTAATCCAGATATTCTTTACATTTTGGTAACTCAATCCACATGAACAAGGAATTAACTTTTACCAACAAGGACATAGAACAAACAAGTGACACAAAGCCAATATATTTATTACTACTTAGCCCTTAAAAAATCATCATCACTACCTTAGGAGGCATTATATTTAATTTCTTCTATAGAAACAAGAAAATTATTTCCATCTTATCCATCCATGATTAGTTCAGAAGCCAATTTAGATTGATAAACTACAAAAGATGGGATACAAACTTCTCCATAAACTAAAAATGTAACTTTTGAAGCAAATAGGATTAATCATTAATAAATCATTATACTAAATCGTCAATATAAGAATTCACATTATATTTCTTCACGAGTAAGAGCATTCAAAAACATAACATTCTCATGAATAAAGACAACAAACTAGAATTATGCAAGTGACACATTTAACAGTAGAACATATACCTCAACCTCCATTCCACTGAACCCGAATCCCGAGTCCCCTTCGACTGCAACGACAAGCCGCTCAGGATTAGCCACACCAGCTGCAATGCAATAACCTAAACCAACTCCCATTGTCCCCCAAGTTCCTGCATCCAACCTAGTCCTAGGCTCAGTCTGAACCAGGACAGACCTTCCAACATCCATAGTATTCGCCCCTTCGGAAACCACCACCGGAGCAGGACTCCCCAACCCCAAAATAGCATCTCTTATAATCCTCATAGGAGTCAAAAAGTTAAAAGGCACAACATCTTTCGCCAACTGAGCCTCCATCCTCGACACATTATCCTTCACCTTCTTCGAAACAGCCTCAACCCAAGGATGAGACTTCCCCAAACAAAAAGGGTCATCTTTAATCCCCTTATTGATCATTTCCAACACCTTCTTAGCATCCCCAACTAAACCTAAATGTGGTTTCCTCAGCTTAATCTCTTCTTCACAAACATCTATCAAAATGAACTTCACATCTTTATCCCACTTAGGACTCTCCCCAAAATGCAATAACCAATTAAGCCTTGCCCCAACAACCAATGCAACATCACATTTCCCAATAGCTAGTGACCTTGCTGCACTGGCAGCCAACTCATGATCATCATTCACCAATCCTTTCCCCATTGGAGTTGGCAAAAAGGGTATTCCCGTCCTTTCCACCAACTTCCTCAATTCCCCCTCAGCTCTCCCATAAGCTGCCCCTTTGCCAAACACAATCAACGGCCTTTCCGCCTTCCTTAACAAAGCAACAGCCTTTTCGATCTCCGAGCTCGGCGGAACTATTGATTCTTCAAAAATCCTCTCTTTCTCAGCTTCAGCCAACAACTTTTCAGCTTCAGATTCAGTTATTGTTTGATGTAAAACATCGGTGGGTAAATCCAAATAACACCCACCAGGTCGACCCGAAACCGCATGATTCAAAACACTAGCAACACAACTGGGAATTTCCTTAATATCTTTAGCTTTAACTGAGAATTTCGAAAAGGGTTTAACAGCTTCGATCTGATCAAGCTCTTGGAAATCTCCACGGCCGGAATCCTTTTGGTCGGAGGAGCCCGAGATCATGACCATAGGCCAGGTGTTGATCATAGCATTGGACAACCCCGCCAGCCCGTGGACACAGCCAGGCCCAGAAACGGTCAAGAGAAGGCCGGGGTGGCCCGTGAGATAGCCGTAAGCGGAAGCCGCGTAGCCGGCGGATTGTTCATTGTGGAAAGCGATGAAACGGATACCCATTTGGACGGCACGGTTGGCGAGGGAGGTAACGGGGATGCCCACAACGCCGAACATGTGGGTAACACCGAAACGGGTAAAGGATTTGGCTGCTAAAACGTTGCCGTCTAAGTAGTCTGCCATATTTTCGACGAAATCTTGCCGAGTGAAAATTGTTGCTGTTCTTGGTGTCTATTTGAGTGAATGTATATATTGTTTTGATGGAGTATAGATTTGTTCAGAAGAATTTATAAAATTACGGTGAATGGGAAGGTGTGAGTGTTAAAATGGGTTTTTGCTTTTGTTTGATAAGAGGTTTATTTGAAGTGGTAGATACATACCAACTTTTGGGTTGGGTATGAAATAATTTGCCCTTTAAAGAAGTCGACAGTTCAGAAATGGCGTAGTGATAATTTTTTTTAAGAAAAAGGTTGAGGATAGGAAAATTATTTAATTTTTTATGTTAAAATAAAATATATTATATTTAATAATTTAAAATAAATAATTACAAATAATTGATAAAATTTAAATTTAAAATTTTTTTATCGAAAAAAAAAAAGTTTAATAAATTTAACCAATAACTTGTTAGTGACTTACTAATCATTAACATATTCGGATGAGAACAACATTTTACTATACGTGTACAGCTTTTTCGATGGAACCAATTCAAATAAACGTGTCTTTTCTCAATACGTGGATGTAAATCGGTGGTCTAAGTATTCTGTTCATCCTTGTCTTCTCAAGGTTGATTGGCTTGAATTAAAGATGCGTGTAAGTAAAATAACCAAAAAGCTAGACAAGACTGACATAAGGAAGACGGCTTGGAAATGGCGTTATTTGGGGGAGATAGCATATATTGTTTTGTTTAATTATTATGACCGTCAAATTTGGGTGTCTGCACTCTGCTCTAGCAAATTTGCTATTTGATTTGGCAAGAACAAGAGTCGCAACATGGCCGCCACAAGCCGCAGCAGAAAGCAACGCTGTTACTGCCTAGAAAGAACTTTCCCGGATTGAAACTTTTTGCTTGGGGCAAAATCGAGTCAATAGCAAAAGCAAAGTTTTAAACTCTCTCTTTTTTTTTTTTTTTGAAATGTTTTAAAATTATATTTTTTTGAATATTTAAAATTTTTATTTTTTTTATATTTTTAAATTATTTTTTATGTTTTATTTTACTTTTTAACATTAAAAATTATGAAATTTTAATTTTATAAAAAAATTTAAATTTTAATAATAAATACATTAAAATTAATTTTTTTTCTAAAATTCTGTAAAAATTAATACAGCCCAAATATTTTAAGATGAAGGAAATATATATTAATTTAATTTTAACTCTAAAATTATGCAATTAAAATTTTCAAATCCATAATTTTTAAGAATCTATTCAATGAAAAATTTCAAAACCGTAATTTTCAAAAATTTGTTCAATAAAAACAGACTTTTTGTTTGCCCTAAGCACAACAAATTTGGTTATTACAAGATTGTAAAGTAGAATGTGAGAAAATAAAATTTTAAATACCCATTTGATCACGTAAAAAATTTCTCATTTTATCTCTAACCTATATCATTTAGGTTAGTTTGCTATTTAAAAATAAGTATTTGTAATTAGATATCTAAACTTATATTCCATAAGATAAATTATTTCATAAATTAACTCCATTATGTTGTTACATATTTAACCAATCATAAAGGGTTAGTAGCTAGGTAAGTGTCTAGTCAACCAATAATCAGCGATATGTCATCAGTAGGTTCAACGTCAGGTCTTCAATAAAAAAAAATATATATATATATATATATATATAAATTCTTTTATAAAAATTCTAAAAATAAAAAAATGTTTAAAAATTTAAAAGATTATTCAATTATTATCCTTAAGAGATAATGGATTTCAAAAGAAAAAAAAATTTAATTTTAGATTTTCCAACATGAGGCATCACTACTTTGAGTCAAGATGCCCTCCCTCACCAACTCAAGAAATCTATTTTCTTAGTAATCACGAGAGTCGTCTCAATTTTATTGAAATTAATTTTGGTAGTCCTTAATAGAATTGGCAATTCAATCCAAAATCAATCGGTTTCGATCTGATTCGATCTCATAAAATTAAAATTTTTTTTTTAAATCAAATTTTGAGTCGAATTAGATACCATGAAAAAAATGTCAGGTCGGGTTTAAGTATTAGACAAACCCGATCGATATTATATAAAAAATTATTTTTTAATTATATATTTATATATTTATATTTTAAAAAATAATATTTTTATATTTTAAAAAATAATATTTATTAATTTTGGGTCGGATCAGATCGGGTACAATTTATATAATATCAAATTCGGGTATTAAAAAATAAAAAAAAATTTTGAATCAGGTACGAGTATAGATTTTATAGTTATAAAATTGGGTGGGGTCGGGACGAGCAAAAAACTTGCCTCGACCCGACCGGTTGCTAACCCTAGCCCTGAATCTTGATTCAGTAAATTCAAGCCTATTGATCAAGTCTTAGATTAAATATCATCAAATAAAATATCATATTCTAGCAACCTTGAGTTTTAAAACCTTAATAATTTTAAGAGAATGTTTGATTTGAAAAAATTCAAAAAAATTTTATGAATCTTGATTGTAAATATTTGATTCTCCCGTTTGATTCAAAATTATTCGATTTTATTAAAAAAAATTAGATTTTTAATAATACTTAAAGTCTTGAAATAAAAAATTTATATCTCTTTGTAATATTTTAAAATTTTGAATGAAAAATTACTTGAGTTTCACATTTAATTAATAAAAAAAATTTATTTATATTATCCTTTTTAAAAATAAGTCTAATAATAAAATTAAATATTTTTAGTCAATTATAGCTTTGTTTAATAAAACACAATAATTAATATTTTTTAGAATTTCATATATTTTATCATTGATTATTTGGATATTTATTTTAAATATTTACAATAATTAGATTAACTATTAGGCATTTATCACGTAAAAACGCCGTAAGTGACCAATTATTGTAGTTTCTGTTTTCCTTTGGCCAATTATTGCAGTTTCTGTTGAGTACCACTGTGATACAGGACAATTTCATAATGATTTATTCAAGTACTACAAAATTATTAATGTACCAAAAAAATAGTATTATAATTCTCTTATTTTTATTTTTATTAAAAAAAAAAGGGAATTCTGAATCTTTTGATAATAATACATAAATTCGTCATTGAGTCAAAATTTATTTTCGTTGTTTAAATTTATTAGTATAAGTTTAATATTTCAAATCAAGTATATTGAAAAGGTACCCAAACAAAATTGGCCAATATAATTTTGTTGGAAAGATTATAGTTTTCAAATTTTAATCAATAATAATCTAAAAGTAAAAAAAGCTAACAAACTTAAAAGAAATTTTACCGCAACAATTCACATTCAATTAATTTAGTATGAAATAAAAGGCAAACAATGTTAATTTTTTAATATATCTACAAATATAAGAAAATTTCTTTTTAAAAACAAATACAAAAAAATTATAATTAAATTTTAAATCTAAGTATTTACAACATTGCTTTTAATGAAATGTAATAATTAAGTTATTTAAAATTTTAATCTAACTCAATTCGATTTTTTTTAATTAAACGTCATAATTGAGTTATTTAAATTTTTTAACTAAAGTAATTACAACATTTCTTTTAATTAAATATCATAATTATATATAATTATTTTTTAAAAATTTATATCAATTACCATATTTTTTAATATAAACACAATAATTGATATAAATTTAATTTTATAAAAATATATAAAATCCTCCTATCATTTAATGATAAAAGCATCATTTGTCATATTTATTTTTTTAAAATATAATAAAATTTTTTTTAAGGTTATCAAAGATATTATGATAAAAAAACATGATTTAATGAACACAAATTCTTCCAACCAAATGTCAGAATTTAAAAACAAGATATTATAAAAATCAAACTTTGCCTCATATTACATTTTTTCAAATATCACACTTTTCATGAATCAAATGCCCACCGAAAATAAAGTTCAAAAAAATTTCGATAGTCCCGAGTTTTGATTTGGATAATCCAAATCTAACAACTTAAGCCTTAGATTAATTATCACAAATTAAAGACCAAAACAATTCCGATAGCCTCAAGCCTTGGTTTGGAAAATTTAATTCCAGCAACCTTGAGGTTTAGATTTTTGTTATCAAAAGTTCAATTCAATTCCAATACCCCGAGTCTTGAACTGACAAAACCATTTTTTCTTGACAAAGCTCATCCAGACTATTTAAATTTGATTTTTTTTGAAATACGTGCCCAACCTAACACATATTACCAAAAATAAGATATTATTAACGAAATTTTTTGTTGATAAATTTTATCAGTATTACATAATAGATAATAATATTTCATTAGTAACAAAAAAATCTGTCGGTAAATATAATTAAATGGGACAACTTGAAGGAAAAACAACAATTGACAGTGGCAATATCTCAAATTAAACATTGCTTAAAACTTAAAAAGTAAAAGTGTAACCAAGATTTCAAGCAGTAATTTTTTTAAAGTTTTCACTGCATGAAAGTATGCACTACACCCAATAAGTTCTAAATATGATGATGGTGGATTCTCTTCATGTTTAGTTACCATGCTTTATCGATTATTGACCTAAATAAAATGTCATTTGCATCTAAAAAACAAAATTTCATTAGTTAAAACCCTAAAATCAATGAATTTCAAACAACTACTGCCATATTTTTCTCTCACCAGTGTAGTCTGAAATGTACCATTCCAACTGAACATTGAAAAAAGGAATAGAATAAGAAATGAATCAAACTTCGTAGAAATGACGATTGAGCTCCTTAAGAGAGTAAAGGCAGAAGAAGCATTGATTTTACACCTACTACAGCTACCTTCACTCAAACTAAAAGGACATAAATGCCCTGTTTGATTCTTTACCTATCGCCATCCAACGTGTTCTTTTCTTGGAAGAGAAAGAGAAAATACCTATAAGAACCATTGACAGAAAGAGGAAGAAGATGGACGGTCAACGAAACCCATCGAAAGTTCGATCGTCTTCTAGCATTGGGAGCAGACGCAGCAGAGATGGGAAGGGGTTAGGCCGGGGGTTGGGAGAGAGTGTAAAGCAAAAAATATAAAAAAGGAGTCTAGAAATTTTAGATTTATATTAACTGCTGTCGTAACGGTTTTGAGATCGCCAGACGTAAAAACGAGTTGTTTTAAAATTGAGAAAAATAAAAAAAAGAAGAGAGAGTCGCCATCAATCTTTATTAGGGTGTGATTGGTCACCCAAAAGTTTATCTTTTTAATAAAACTATAAAAACGGGTTGTTTAAAGTTTATCAAAAATATATATTTCAGTCTACGAAAAATCAGGTTGGGTCCGGGAGTCGGTTACGCGTGGGGAAGGATTAGCAC